CCTGACCTGTGGATGAACCTGCATTCCTGACAGTCCCTGGATGCTAATGAATGACAAAATTTGGGATTCCCTCCAAACTCGTGCCAAAGTTTTGCAGTCATTTTGCAGCTCCCCGAAACAGAAATTGATCCATCAAACTAGGGTTCGTAGTTAACACCCCAAAACCCAACAGTGTCCAAATCACTTCAAACCAGTGCCAAGGTTCGGCAACAGTTTTGCAGCGAAATCTCCACAATTTTCAGCCCCCCCAAATGAGTACAGTGGTACCTCAGGTTACATACGCTTCAGGTTACAGACTCCGCTATCCTAGAAATAGTGCCTCAGGTTAAGAACTTTGCTCCAGGATGAGAACAGAAATCGTGTGGCGGTGGCGCGGCAGCAGCGGGAGGCCCCATTAGCTAAAGTGGTGCTTCAGGTTAAGAACAGTTTCAGGTTAAGAATGGACCTCCGGAACGAATTAGGTACCTAACCAGAGGTACCACTGTAATTTAAACTGAAACTGAAGGTCATAGGTATCACCCCCAAATGCAACATTGTCTGATTCACTCCAAGCTGTTGCCAAGGTTAGTCAATAGTCCAATAGCAGTGTTTTTCAGCAAGTACCCTAAGTTTGCAGAGCCCCACCAAACTGAGTAATTGATACTCAGACTTAGAATCAAAGAATCATAGAATCATAGACTTGGAAGAGACCACAAGGGCTATAGAGTCCAACCCCCTGCCAAGCAGGAAACACCATCAGAGCACTCCTGACATATGGCTGTCAAGCCTCTGCTTAAAGACCTCCAAAGAAGGAGACTCCACCACACTCCTTGGCAGCAAATTCCACTGTCGAACAGCTCTTACTGTCAGGAAGTTCTTCCTAATGTTTAGGTGGAATCTTCTTTCTTGTAGTTTGGATCCATTGCTCCGTGTCCGCTTCTCTGGAGCAGCAGAAAACAACCTTTCTCCCTCCTCTATGTGACATCCTTTTATATATTTGAACATGGCTATCATATCACCCCTTAACCTCCTCTTCTCCAGGCTAAACATGCCCAGCTCCCTTAGTCGTACCTCATAAGGCATCGTTTCTTGAGGGTCATCGGTATCAAGCCAAAGCCAAATAAGACTTGAGGGTCATCGGTATCAAGCCAAAGCCCAACACGGTCCGATTCACTCTCAACTGGTGTCTGCCAAGGATTCCTGGTGAGTGGACAAGTGAGGCTCAGTCGACCTCTTCCCATCCTTGGCAGGTAAATCTAAAGCAAACTATTGGGGTGGAATTCAAGGTAGTGCTAACTGGGGAATGTATGATTAGAATGAGGCTTCTTCCTCATGCAACATGCCTTTCCCCCTTCTCCTCCCCTTATTTGCTAAGCCATTTCAAGGGAGGAGCAGGAGAAACTCAACTAAAGGTAAAGGGACCCCTGACCATCAGGTCCAGTCGTGACCGACTCTAGGGTTGCGGCGCTCATCTCGCTTTATTGGCCGAGGGAGCCAGTGTTCAGCTTCCGGGTCATGTGGCCAGCATGACTAAGCCACTTCTGGCAAACCAGAGCAGCGCACGGAAATGCCGTTTACCTTCCCGCCGGAGCAGTGCCTATTTATCTACTTGCACTTTGACGTGCTTTCAAACTGCTAGGTGGGCAGGAGCAGGGATCGAGCAACGGGAGCTCACCCCGTCGCAGGGAATCGAACTGCCGACCTTCTGATCAGCAAGTCCTAGGCTCTGTGGTTTAACCCACAGCGCCACCCGCGTCCAGTAACTCAACTGCTCTGCATTTATTCTGAAATATTTGCGTGTTCCCACACAATTCTCAAATAAAAATCAAATCAAATAAAAAACCTCACATCTTGTACCAGCTGAAATATCAATATTCAGAAATAATAATCTAAATTCCTAGTGAAGAGGAATTAAAGAACCTTTTAATGAGGGTGAAAGAGGAGAGTGCAAAATATGGTCTGAAGCTCAACATCAAAAAAACCAAGATCATGGCCACTGGGCCCATCACCTCCTGGCAAATAGAAGGGGAAGAAATGGAGGCAGTGAGAGATTTTATTTTCTTGGGCTCTATGATCACTGCATATGGTGACAGTAGTCACGAAATTAAAAGACGCCTGCTCCTTGGGAGAAAGGCGATGGCAAACCTAGACAGCATATTAAAAAGCAGAGACATCACCTTGCCAACAAAGGTCCGTATAGTTAAAGCCATGGTTTTCCCAGTAGTGATGTATGGAAGTGAGAGCTGGACCATAAAGAAGGCTGATCGCTGAATAATTGATGCTTTTGAATTATGCTGCTGGAGGAGACTCTTGAGAGTCCCATGGACTGCAAGAAGATCCAACCTCTCCATTCTGAAGGAAATCAGCCCTGAGTGCTCACTGGAAGGACAGATCCTGAAGCTGAGGCTCCAATACTTTGGCCACCTCATGAGAAGAGAAGACTCCCTAGAAAAGACCCTGATGTTGGGTAAGATTGAGGGCACAAGGAGAAGGGGACGACAGAGGACAAGATGGTTGGACAGTGTTCTCGAAGCCACAAACATGAGTCTGACCCAACTGCGCGAGGCAGTGGAAGACAGGAGTGCCTGGCGTGCTCTAGTCCATGGGGTCACGAAGAGTCGGACACGACTAAACGACTAAACAACAACAACAATCTAAATTTGCTTATGTTATTTTAAGGACGGCATTCCAGATATTCTTACTTAAACTAGAGGCTGCCACAAATGTACCAGCCTCTATTCTTCCAGCAAAAATGAAACTCCTTTTACCCTCAGAAACGCAAAGGCTATGGGACAGCTTGATTGCTTCTTAAACCCTTTCCAAATACATATCCAGAACAGAGATAAAAACTGAAGTTTGGAAAAGCAGAGAGTAAGATTAATGGCTTGATTTAGACTTAGAATCGATCAGGAAAGGAGATCTTTGTGTTCGTGTGAACAATGTAAATCTGCTAAACGCCCCACAGAAGCTGCAGTCAAAGTAGTAAACAAGATGTTGAGGTGGAGGAGAACTGAATGGAAAATGATATTGAAAAAGCTCCTATGTAATATAAATCAATAGTACATGCACAGCTGGGTACTATATTCAGTTCTGATGATCTATTACAGAGCAGATGTAAAAGAAATAGAGGGGATTCGGAGATGAGATGGAAGACAGCAGTGGCTGCAGGCCTAGAAATGACTTGAAGTTGAAGGCGCAGAAGGAATGGAATAGATCTGTTAGTGAGAGGAAATGAGTGGAAGGATGCAATCAAAGGACGGAAGCAAAGACCTGGACAGAGGGGTATGTTTGGCTCAGCCTTTTAAGCTGCTCCTTTATGGAAACTTTAGTAACTTTCTGCAATATATAACCTGCCAGTGGGACTCACAACACATATGGACAGTAGCGGAGAAGAATTTCCAAAGATTAAAAACGGATCTTGAAAATATCTCATTACCTGAGGCATGCAGGAAAACAGTGGGGAGCCAAACTAAACTTTTAAGGAAGATAGCTCCTCTGATACTAAGTTAGCAAATTACGGCCCATATTAGTCACAGATGTGAATTAAAGAGATAGTCTGAAATGTAAAAATCCCCTTTAAACTGGAGAACATTATTAACAGTTTTTAGTGTATAGTCAAAGAAAGTTAAAGCCTGGGGAAACTTTTCTTACAGGAGAGACCCAATAAATCCAGTCTGATATTCTTAATACTGTTTAATATAAGCCACAGCCTTTAGGAAACATAATGCAAAACAGAACTAAAATAATGCTGTACATAGATGGCTACCCCTTAGATTTAGAGCATTTTTGCATCACTTCTGAAAGGTGCTCATGTCCCAGATCGCTCACTATTCAAAATACTAGGGGGAGTGAAATTAAGATGCCAGTTCCCTTTATTGGGATCCTGCCCCGTTATACCGCATCAGTGAAAGCATGGCATAAACACAGTGAGTGGCATTCAACTAAGTTTTATTCAAAGTAGACCCACTAAAATGGATGAAAATTGCTCCATTAGAGCCATTGATTTGAGTGCACCCACTCTGAGCAAAGCACAGTTGAATAACACCCAATCTCTTTAAGAGAACAACACTTTCTTGTAAAAATACACTGACAGGATTACTTGAGTAAAAACATGGGCGGCCAGGAAAATAGGGAGAAGTGTGGAGGCACACTGCCATTTAGCAGACGCCAGATCTTTGAACAGTTTTGTAGGACTGCTCAAGGGAGCCAGCAAAGCATCTTTAACCAGAACCCATCCTTCTCAAGGTGAAGTACTAAGTACTTAGTACTTCTGAAGTACTAAGACAGGGATAGCAGACGTGGTGTCATGTAGACATGGGCCACAACTCCAATTGTAGCCCCAGACAGTTTAGCGAATTGTCAGGGATGATGGGAGTTGTAGTCCAATAACATCTGGCAGGCACCATGCTGGCTGTCCGTGTACTAAGAGAAAGGCACCGGTTACATAGAATCATTGAACTGTAGAGATGCCAGGGAATCAAGAGTCATTTAGTTCAACCCCATGCAACGCAGGAATCACAACTCAAGCATCCATGGCAGGTGCCCATCAAACAGAATAATAGAATCAAAGATTTGTAGAGTTGGAAGGGACAACAAGGACCATATAGGCCAACCCCCTGCAATAACAACAACAACAACAACAACAACAATTTATTATTTATACCCCACCCATCTGGCTGGGTCCCCCCAGCCACTCTGGGCGGCTCCCAACAAAACACTAAAATACAATAACCTATTAAACATTAAAAGCTTTCCTAAACAGGGCTGCCTTCAGATGTCTTCTAAAAGTTTGGTAGTTATTTTTCTCTTTGACATCTGGTGGGAGGGCCTTCCACAGGGCGGGCGCCACTACCAAGAAGGCCCTCTGCCTGGTTCCCTGTAACTTGGCTTATCGCAGTGAGGGAACTGCCAGAAGGCCCTCGGCGCTGGACCTCAGTGTCCAGGCAGAACGATGGAGGTGGAGACGCTCCTTCAGGTATACTGGACCGGGGCCGTTTAGGGCTTTAAATACAGGAATCTTTTGCCCAACATGGGGCTCAAACCCACGTCCCTGAGATTAAGAGTCTCATGCTTCACTGACTGAGTCAGGTTTATTAAGGATATTTATCACTTTCCACTACCAAAAGTCCCAAAGTGATTTACAACCAGAAGAAAAACACCACAATGAAAATACATATTGAAACCATAATTGGAATAAAAACATCCAATCCCAAATGCCTGGGAGAAGGAAAATGTATTTTCTTGGTTCCAAAATGATGACCAAGTTGGTGCCAGGCCTCCCTGAGGAGAGGGTTGCTACACGTCAAATGGAAGTATTCCTGACTCAGACAAACCATTGTTTGCTCATCAAGTGGCTAGAATTTCAAAGCATGTGATACAGCCTGAAGAGAAAACATTACTGCCTTCACACTCTGCTTCCAAAGCTGCGGTTACTTCTGTGTCGTCACAAGCAAAGGCTCCTGAAGGAAGCAGGTCCCTTTTAAGGTGGGGACCTCATTCATCACGGGACGCCACTGGCTACCTAGAGGAAACCGGAAACCTACTCAAGGTTTCCTCAGAGATTGCTAGCTGTTAAGCAGCATTCAAGGAATGCTTCTCTGGTTTCCAGGCCCACTGGGAGCTGTCCGTGGTGCTAACCACATCCTTGCTTGTCCTTTTCCGAGACCTGGCCTCCACTTGTTACCTTGTTTGTGGAACCTGCCCCTTGCTAGCCATCCTGGAACTTGAACACACAATCCGTATTCATGTTTGTGGATCTGTCTTCCTGGAATTTGATCTGGGCTTGGCTGAACTCTGCTCACCAGGCCCTGCCTTGACACAGTGAGCTCAAGAAGCCAGTAGCAGGGATGGGGAGGGAGGAGAACAAATGGCTGCTGACTTGCTCTCCGCATGACCATGGATATGGAGTTAACTACGCAGGAAGTTTACAGATACTTGGAGGATGTACTGTGGAGCTGTTACTGCTTAGAGGACAACACATCAATGTGGTGTGTGTCACTGTGATCTCGGGTCAAACCTGATTTTCACGGTTATGTAGCTCTCCAGGGAGTATACGGGGAAAGGAGAAGCAACCCTACAGGTGTGAAAGTCGCAGGTACTACCCAACAGGTGCCTGGTGATGAGTAACACACACTGTGCCTAGGGCATCTTTGGTTCTGATTTTGCAAATCTGAGAAGGAACAGAGTGGTTGTGTAACCTTCCAAAAAGCAGAGCTTTGATTAGGAAGAAGAAAAGTTTGGGTTTGATATCCCGCCGTTCACTCCCTTTAAGGAGTCTCAAAGCGGCTAACATTCTCCTTTCCCTTCCTCCCCCACAACAAACACTCTGTGAGGTGAGTGGGGCAGAGAGACTTCAGAGAAGTGTGACTGGCCCAAGGTCACCCAGCAGCTGCATGTGGAGGAGCGTAGACGCGAACCCGGTTCCCCAGATTACGAGACTACCGCTCTTAACCACTACACCACGCTGGCTCTGATTAGGAATGCAACTCTTCTTCTTCTTAATTAAATTTCTATACTGCCCTTCACCTGAAGATCACAGGTTTACTACACACACCCCATAATCAAGAGAAGTTCTAACAATTCTCCTCACTTCCAATGTTCTTTAGTCATAGAGCAGAGTTACAGCACAATCCTGTGCTCAGAAGTTTGTCCTATTAAGTTCTGTGGGACTTATTCCCAGGTGCCGTATTTTTCGCTCTATAAGACGCACCAGACCACAAGACGCACCTAGCTTTTTAAGGAGGAAAACAAGAAAAAAAAATATTCTGAATCTCAGAGGCCAGAACAGCAAGAGGGATCGCTGCACAGTGAAAGTAGCGATCCCTCTTGCTGTTCTGGCTTCTGGGATAGCTGCACAGCCTGCATTCACTCCATAAGACACACACACATTTCCCCTTACTTTATAGGAGGGAAAAAGTGAGTCTTATAAAGCAAAAAATACGGTGTGTGTAAAGGATTGCAGCCTTAGTGTATTGGGAGAAACCAGAAACCAAGTCCTTTTCACTCACCTCTGAAGCCACAAACTGCTGCACTGCTGAACTTTTCACAGCACAATTCTGTCATTGCTAGCTATGGTTTTTTTTTCATTGTAAATTCTGTCTCAGGCTCTGCTAAGACCTGCTATAACTCTTGTGGAATAAGCTCCCTCTATGTCATATTCTTCTTCGGCAGATCATGACTCTTGCTGACATGTTCATTGAGAGAGACTTTACTCTTCCTCCCCCCCTCCCTCCAAATTGGCTGGCTAAATTATTAACACAGCTATAAAGATGGCACTAAATCATTGGCAGAAGGGCAGCACGACAAAATTGCAGCATAATCTCTCATTTCGTTGCCAGATGTCTGTTTGATGCAGATTTTGCTAAACAGTGCGACAATAGCAGAAAACCCGCCTGTGGAAGGAGTGTGCCTGTGTGTGCTTACACATGTATGTATATACAAGAGAGTGAGAGTATGTAAATCTAAAAAAGAAGTTACCTGGGTAAGGAGGCATATTGTCTTTCTCTTCCCTCAAACTGGAGATGGTGCGAAGTTCCATCTGGAGTTTTTCCAGGCACCTGTGGAGAAGAACATAATTAGAGATGACGATCAATTATTCAACCCAGTTACTGACAATGTTTCTCAAAATGATAATCAGAGAACAAATGAGGCACCAGCATGCCAAAATCAACAAAGAAAAAACGTTGAGGCTCAAGGGGAACCCCACATTAATCTTACCACTATTATTAACATTAAATATATACATAGGACAAAAGAGTGCTTGTTTTCCTTGTTTTGCCATTCTTTCTGCAATCCAGAAGAGATGCTGTCGATTTGTACATAACATGGGGCAACAGAAAAAGATGTTCTCCATCCTACAGTCCATAAAAAAATAAGAAAAAGAATCAAGAATAATATTGTATGAAGTGAAAGCAGCCATTGTTCATTCTGGACCATCTTAGGACTTGGGCCCAAGATAGCTGCTGTATTTTTTGCTCTATAAGATGCACCAGACCATAAGACGCACCTAGTTTTAGAGGAGGAGAACAAGAAAAAAAATATTCTCTCCCTCTCTGCGCAGCGCCCCTTCAGCGAAGCGGCAGGAGAAACGGAGCCCCTTCCATTTCTCCTCCCGCTTCGCTGAAGGGGTGCTGCGCAGAGAAGGAAAGCTGCACAGTGCCTCTCCAGCGAAGCAAAGCCAGGAGAGAAAGAAGGATCGGTGCGCGCCAACCCCTCTTGCTCTCCTGGCTTCAGCGAAAGCAACATGAAGCCTCTGGAGCACAGAGGGAGCTCCCTCTGTGCTCCGGAGGCTTCACGTTGCTATCGCTGAAGCCAAGGAGCCTGCATTCGCTCCATAAGATGCACACACATTTCCCCTTACTTTTTAGGAGGGGAAAAGTGCGTCTTATAAAGCGAAAAATACAGTATATCTGAACTGTGATGCACGCCACCAGTAGGGTGCACAAGTCTCTTCAACTCAGTTCTCCAATTTACAAATGGGAATATTGTAGGGGTGACAACATAAAGGAATGTTAAAATATTTTGCACCCCCAAAGTATACTGGGAAGGAATAATCATAACTGAAATAGCTCAGAACCCACATCTGCTTTCACTTTCCATCTCCTTATCGCTCCCATTTTTTTACAAGGCAGCAGCAGCCTCCAGCGGTATAGCTACAACTATGGTTTGTCAACTCAGACGCAATGAAAACCATACGTTAGCACACACCATGGTTTGAAAACCCTTTTCTAGCCATCATTTCTGATTCTGGTTTGCTGGCTGATCTCAAAGCATGACCTGTCAATTCAGCATTCTCAACTGTGGGTGGACATGCTATCTAAACTGAGCCAATTGCCTTATTAATGTGAATAAAATTTGGGCTCTTGATCTCTACCTCCCTCCCTGCCCCTTGCCAGGGCCACAATGACACAAGCTTTTGCTTCCATTTTAAGTTAATGGCAGTTACTTGTTATGGCTGAACCCAGATGTTATTTATTTATTGACATATTAATAGCCCACCTTTCCCTGCAAAGATCTCAGGACAAAGAACAGTGAAATTACACTTCGAAACGCCAATCTACAACACGTTAAGTGCAGAATAAAATTCACATTTCAATCAATCATCAAAATGCAAATGCCTACAAATTCTAGCTGAACATTAAAACTTTCCAAAGGCCGGAGTGATTTAGTCATGCTTTCTCCTGGCATGTAAATGGGAAAGAGAGAGCGAGAGTTGACGGAGAAGACCCTCTCAGATCACTGCATGATGTTTGACACCTGATGGCAGAATGCAAGTCTGAGCCTCCCTAGCTGATCTTAACACACCCAGGCAGGACTATATTTAGAGAGGCATTCAAGCTTTTAAAGCCCCGGGTCATTCGGGACTTGATAAGTCATCACCAATACATTGAGTCAACCTCAAGGGCAGTCCTCCACAGAGCATGTTTCCTACATTTATAACTTGCCATGGGACACTTGACAGAATGCATGTGATTCCCAGGTAACCACTCCATTTGAAACCATGGCATACAATATTGGTTTGGCTCCTTACGCCTGCTTTTGCCAACCTGGTACTCTCCAGAAGTTGTTGGATTCTGACTTTATCAGCCCCAGCAGCATGGCTAAGGCTGATGGGAGCTGTAGCCAAAAAATAAATAAATCAAAAAATCTGGAGGGCACCAGGTTGGGGGAAAGCTGTCCTAAATCACAGTTAATAAAAATGAACGATGATTTCAAGCATTGACATAAGGATAAACCATGGTTAATTTAAAATATAGGTGAGGTATACAAGAGGACCAGAGATACAATAACAATTGGAATAAATTTATTGAATATATAAAGGAGAACAACAAAGATATTAAGACACTAGCAGGACTGGAATAACACCTCCAATGTAAAACAGTAAAGTTATGACAATAATATACTCAAAAAGTATGTGATGTATATACCAGCGGTCGGGAGGGAGGGAAGTCAGGACTCGGCAGAGTCAAAGGGATTATAATGTGACAATAAGGATTGTTGGAAAAAGAATTACATGTTGAAAACAATAAAAATTTATTTGAAAAATAAAATAAAATATATGTGAGGTATGAGCAGAGGCTTATGCATGTAA